ATCCTGTGATTCTGTGATTCTGTGAAAACAGCACGACACTGTGATCTCTGTGCAGCCAGGGCCATTCAAAAGTGGATTTTGTGATTTTTTTTCCTTTTTTTAACACTAAGTTTACCATTAAATACAACTGAGAAACCACAGCGAATGCCTGCTATTTAGTGTAAAAATTAGAATCTTTGGTGCCTAGTGTCCATCATCAGAGCAACTGAATTACTCGTCACGTTCAGAATCTAGGGACATAAGGAGATCTGTAGATAACTGGTATGGAGACACATGGAACCTGGTGTGTGAAGGACTGTGGCACCTCAGACAAACTTAGAACTGAATTACCCCTTAAATAACCCCAAATCTTACTGCTCATCAATAATGTTATCTAGGAACGTGAAAGTGCTTTTACACATGCCCAGAGCTATTGCTGACAAAACAGAAGCAACCAAATCAGTGTCTGTTTGGGGTCATCTAGTCAAACACCTTTTTTTCTGGGTAACTTTAAGGTTTTATTTGGCAGTTATTCAGCACATATTTATTCCTCGCCAAACCCAGTAGCCGCGCTACCTTCATGCAAAAATACAAGTGGTGTTTCTATACACACGCTGATGTTAAAGAATTGGCATGTCCAAATGCCCATGGAGCTGATCCATGTCAATATTCCTCACCCCTGAGATCTTGCGCTTGCAGACGGACAAACACAAAGTCCTTCAGTGCCAGGGACACAAATGCAACATGGGGATGTTCTCAGCGTTTCTCTCCTAACAAATCCCAGCTGAACCCAAACCCCAGCGCTGTTCCAGCTGCTGAACAGAACCAGCTCTGGCCCAGCTCACACCAGGACAGTGGGGAAACTGCCTCTGTAGCTGCCGTGCTCTCCTGATGGATGATGGATGGGCTAAGATCATGAATACTGGAGAGCGAGGAAGGTAATTTAGTTCACATCATGTGTGGGTGGGTGCCAGTCCTGTCTGCTCTGCCACTGTAGTCTGGATTCCTCTGTCAGGTAACAACAGAGCAGATCCAAGCTGACGTTACACTGGTGCTACCTACTCATAGTTTTTGCTTCTGATTTTCTTTTTAAATGAAGCCGATGACAGATGCTGTATTTGAGGAGCTGGGGCTTTGGATGGAGGCTAGAACACAAACATTTTATTTGTTCTCCTGCAAGCAAAACAAAAATCACATCAACCCTGATCCTGCAATACTTCATTGTTGAGCTCCCACTCAGCAGCAGACTGGCTGCATGTTGGACAGTGCATGCACAGAAGTAAAGCAGTGACCCTTACTGGGGTCAGGGTGCTGAGACGGTACCTGAGACATCCCACTCCCACTCCAGGCTTTCCAACGAGACTGCATGCAACTGCCTGAATCATCAACTGTATGAACAGGGGCTCTCTTCCCAGGCTAGCTGCTCTCCCTGGGAGTGTGCAGAGAATTTAACTTTTTATTTTTTTGCAAGATCCCACCAAATTGCGATGACATGAAAACTTGTCCGTGTGCTGTGTTTTGGAGAGATGGTGTTGCTCTTTTGTAGTAGTCCTTCCCACTGTTGCCAAATGAAAGTCAGCCATTTGTCCTTGATCAGCTGCTGTCCCCATCACTGTGTCCCCATCATCACTGTGCCCTTATTTCTCTTCATCCTGATGGGTCAGAGCCATGTTCTGTGTGGATTTGTACGACTATCAGTTTTTCCTCCCCTAATATAATACATGAACTGCTCATTTGATTTCAGGTTTAACAGAACACCAAAGGCCTCAAGATCCCAATAAAACCAGGTGAAGAAGTGGCCCAGGAAGGGGCAATCCTTGGCAATGCCTCCTCTGAAGAGAAGGACATGGTGTGACTCACGCTTCATTAATCATCAGAGAGGCTGGAGAAAAGCAGCCCCAAGACACAAATCTGTGGGAAACCCCTTGCTCCTGGGGCAGGTTGTTCAGTATAATTGCTCCTCTGTGAATGAAACAAGAGCCATTTCCAAGACTTCTGTATTTTAAAGTCACAAGATTTCTCACAAGGAGTGTCCTTCAGGACCCAGACACTGCTGGCTTTCCTCTTCCTGCTAATGGTGCCCACCACCACGAGGCACGGTCTGAGACTCCATGAGTCAGAAGAGTGTTTCTGTAAGGAAGTAAAGCTCTGCCAAGGGGGAAGGACCATGACTGGTCATCCCCCAGCTGCTGGGTGTCCAAATTTCAGCCCCAGCACAGAGATGAATGTAAGCTGCTATTCCCAAAATGCATGCAAAGATCAGTGGGCTGTCGGGCAATCGTGTTTGAAGGAAAGAGGATAGTCTGAGGTGATGGCACAGTCAGATCAGCCCTGAAAGTACACGCTGAACCCAAGCAGAGGGGGTCTAACCTGGCTACTAATCAGTGTCGTGCACAGGATTCTCACTCTGCAGGTCTTTGGGGAATATACAGAGAGACCAGACTCTCTGGGGACTTCAAGACAAGAAACTTCCAGTGTTTCTAAGATTAGACATCAGCTGAGCAGCTACTTCTGTCACTAAACATTTAGCTCTAGCAGGTAAAAGCAATAGAAATCCCACCTTAGGTGTGAAGTCCTCCTCTGGATTTGTTATTTGTTTTACTATATTTGCTTTTCTTTTCTGGTTATTGTTTCCCATCAAAAAAACCCCAAATAAAACTAATTGCCATTTCCAGATGGTGCGTGATCTGAGGCACGATCATGGAGAGTGGATGGTCCATGCCAGCAATGCTTCTCTCATTTTGCAGGAGCACTGGCCTTGGAAAGGAGCTCCTTTACACAGGGCAAGGTGCACCTGCCTGATTGCAAAGTAATTAATGAGCCACAGCAGGGCCCATCTCTGCCTCATTCCACCTCTAATTGGCCAGGACAGAGAGGTTCCTTTCTGTTGCTTCCCAGAGATGTCAGTCACTGAGGGTCCCGCCTCACCCCCACTTCCCCAGCCAGCATAAAAAGGCAGAGCAGGGAGAACAGAGCATGGTGTGTTGTCTGGTCCTTCCTTGCTGGTTGCCTCTTTGCTTTCAACAGGACAAAAAGGTACTGTTCTCAGATGTTCAGGGGAAATTTGGGGGCATGAAGGCTTTAATTATTCTACAAACTTCTGGTTCATGTTTAGATGTCTCTTACTTAATGCAATTACGGGATGCAATTAGTCTTGATGAACATAAGGTTGCTTGTAGTCCTGTCTGAAAGGTTAGATACAGCCTGGGTTGGTTTTGAGTGAGAAGTTAGTTCAGGCTGAGGTGTGCTAACAGCAGTAGATCAACTTTTTGATATATGCTGTTTTATTTTTTCCCTTAGTTCTGCTGTTATTAGTTCTTCTAATGCAAGACCTTCTAAACCTTGGTGGGGAGAAAGGAGGTACCAGATACCTCTTCTAAATATATTGATAAAAAGCACTATGGTCTCTGACAAGAGCTTTCCTGAGGGAGGAAGGACTTTCTCCTTATTTCTCTGATACCATAAACTAGAAGAAACTTATATGCTGGGAGGGTTTGCAAGTAGAACCATGCCCTAAGGGGAAGAGGTTTGCTTTTGGGGGTCTGCCCTTAATGGGTACTAAAGGAACTTCTCCCTCCAATCAAGTTGTAGGGAAGGGTCACCAGCTGCTTGGTGTCTTCCTAAACTATGGTCCTACTTGCATTTCAGCTGCAATGGCCTTGGCTGTGCCTGACAAAGAGGAAGCTGCTAGGAGCTCCCTGGAGGTGAAGGAAGAGGAGCAGCAGGTAGGTGTTCCATCTGGGGTGTAATCAGTGGCAGGTCCTGGGTGCAGGTGTGAGAAGGTGGCCCTGCTGTGCCTGGGGAGAGCTAAGCCTCCACAAAGGTGAGTGTATCCTCTGCTCAGACTGTGCCCTCCAGCTTCTCTGGCCATGTGGGTGGTAGCACAGCCAAAAGAGTAGGCCTGAAGACCCTCTAGATAGCTTCCTAGGTAAAGCAAAATAGCCTTCTTCTTGGCTTGGAGATGTGTTTCCCTAACTCTGAAGTCAAGATCCTGGCTTGCTGCAGGCAATGCTTCTGTGGAAAGGCTCCTGTGTTCCAGCAGTCCTGAAACCTGCTGCACTTGCTTTACTCCCATGACCAGCAGCATGCCTCTTGCAGACTAAAGTCTGTCAACTTAAACCCAACCTGATTTTGTTCTGATGAAGCTTTTCCTGGATGACTGTCTTGTTAAATAGCTACACCAAATGAGTTAGAGATGGATATTGCTTCAGGAACGTTGAGGTTGCCCACAAATTCAGCTGTCCCTTGGGTAGCACTGCACTAGAGGAAGACCTTGCTAGAATAGATCAACCATAAGTGTCTGCTCCACAGCTTGTTTCTCAGTTGAGTTGCAGATTTTAAAGCAGCTGCTCAAGAATGACAATCCTTGCTTCCTCAATGAGACTGGGTGACCTGAACAGGCAAACATAAGAGGAAGTTCTGGGACAACACTGCATAGGAAGCTCAGTGTCATGTTTGTGAGCTTCATAGCTTTTTTATCTCTTCTAGGATGCAGTAAATCAGGTGGCTAACCTGACCTTGGTCAGCTCTGCCTGTGACATGGTTTCTACAGCTTATGCCTCCACTAAGGAGAGTCACCCCTACATCAGATCTGTGTGTGATGCAGCAGAGAAAGGAGTAAAAAGTGTGACCGAAGCCACAGCCAGCTGTGTGCAGCCAGTTCTGACTACACTGGAGCCTCATGGTAATCTTCTGTGGAAGGGAAGGTTTGCACCTGCCTGTGAGGGACTCTGGCTCCTTCTAGAGCTGGAAGGAACCCTAGGGTGTGGAAATGTGCCTCTCCATCACTGTACTAAAAGGACTATTCCTGGTTTACAAGTAAGGCTAAAAAGCTGAGTCCTAGTCCAGGAGGTGCAGTGGAGTGTTCCTCCCTGGAGGACCAGGACTTGACTGACTACCCTGAAGCTGATCTTGCAAGGTCTGAAGTATTAGGTGGCAGTTGCTTATAGTCAGATTCTTAAAGCTCGTGGTGGTGACAGGAAGGAGCCTCCTCTTTGGAGGACTGTGGGATCTAAAGGTCCCATTTTCCATGGCCTTTAAAGAGCATGACTGTGGCACCTGAGGAGCTCAAAACTTCTGGAGGGAGAGTTGCTGTTCATAATGGCAAGTGTCTGCCAAAACAATCCATGTGGTCTGGATGGAGGTTTTCATCTGGGCTCTGTGTGAAACAACGTGCTCAGGAGGGTACAATTTGTGAGACTGAATTGCAGGAAAACCAACCTTTGACACTGTTATGGTGTTTTGTTTTGTTTTTGCCCCCTTACCAGTTGCTGCAGCAAGTGAGTATGCCTCCAAGGGCTTGGATAAACTAGGAGAAAAGCTCCCACTCCTTCAAAAGCCAGTGGACCAGGTAAGAATCAAAGGCTGTGCTGTCCCCTTGATGGCAGAGGGACCTGGTCCTTGCAGGGTTTCTAACCTTGGGAGTGAAGTAGGCTTTCGTATGAGGAACAATCTAGGTGCACCATGCAAGCTCCTCCAGGAGTAAATGCTTAGCAGACATTGTGCTAAATATCCTCTTGGTGCAGTTCAGAATGGTAGTGTACTACACGACCCTACCCCTTATCTGACCTGAATCTCCTGTTTCACAGATTATCTCTGACACAAAAGAGCTGGTGTCATCCAGAGTGGCTGATGCAAAGGATGCTGTGAGCACTAAAGTGACAGAGGTGATGGATGTAACTAAGGAGACTCTCCAAAGCAGTGTGGAGGCTGCCAGATCTGCAGTGACCAGCAGTGTAGGGATGGTTATGGACTCCAGAGTAGGCCAGACCACTGTAAGCGGAGCAGAAGCTGTGCTGGGGAGTACAGAAGACAATACTCTCCCAATTGGAAATGAGGAACTAGGTAAGGAAACAGTGGATGTGACTACTTGTAATGGGAACCATCACACTGGGGATGGTCAGCTTTGTTCCTCACCCCACTACTCTGGAATGGGGCTGATGCGGAGTGCCATGCTGGAGGCTACCTAGCTCCTAGTCCAAGATTTCTTGATACTTGTTCACTCTGTGTGGTGAGCATCTCTGGTCAGCCTCTAACAGATACTATCTCTTTCCTCAGCCAAACTGGCAGCATCTGAGGAGGGCACAGACATCATGCCTGTGGAGCAGCAGCAGAAGAAGAGGAGGTACTTTGTGCGGTTGGGGTCTCTTCCTGATGATCTTCGCCTGTGTGCCTACCTGCACTCAACAGAGAAAATGAAGCAGGTCTGGCAGGACATGCAGGAGGCCCTTGCACAGCTTCACTGCATCATTGAACTGGTAGGTAGAGTCTGGTCTCCTGGCAGGAGGGGGACCAAATCATTGGCTTGGTCTGAACTTCATTGCTATGATAAAGAGCTGTGCTATTTGTCTTGACACTCTGATCTTCCACTGTCACAGACTGAAGTGTTTAAACAAGGATTTAATCAAAAGCTTCAGGAGGGGCAGGAGAGACTACACCAGATGTGGCTGGACTGGAGCAGGAAGTCTTCCAAAGAGAGTGGAGATGAAAGCTCTGCAGAGGCAGAGGTACTGCCTGGGGAGGGAAGAAAAGGGTTTTGGGCATCCTCTTGAATTTTTAAATTTTTTTGGAAGTAACTCCTCTGATCTTGTCTTTCCTACCTCTTCCCAGGAGATGGAGTCTCTGGCCCTGCTCATGGCAAGTAGTATCACACAGCAGCTGCAAATCACCTGTTGTAAAGTAGTGTCTGCAATCCAAGGCCTCCCCTCAAGCCTCCAGGATAAGGTGAAACGATCTCTTGGTTCCATAGAGGAACTTCATGCTTCTTTCTCAGCAGCAAACTCCTTCCAGGACTTGTCCAGCAGTGTCTTGATCCAGAGCCAGAGGAAGCTGGCTGTGATCCAGGAGTACATGGAGGAGCTGCTGGAGTACCTGAAGAACAACACACCCCTGTCCTGGCTGGTGGGACCCTTCTCCCCCAGGAAGGAGGAGGTGGAAACCTCACAGGAGGAGAAAGCAGAGACAGCAAGAACAGGGGAAAATGAAGCTTCCACCACCCTCATGTGAAGGATAAAGCCATGAGCACAGGTCTGCCTGGTGTGACTCTGAGGGCTTGACCTTAGCTTTATGTATCTCCACTCTCTAGCTGAGGGTGAAGCTGTCACATCCTGAACAATTATTGGGTACTGGTAAATAAATCCTTAGGAGCTTCTAAAGAAGGTGGTGGAAGTAGCAGGGCCACTCTTAAGTACTTGTAGCTGCCTTCAGGAATGGTGGCTGAGCTCTGGGTCAGGAGAACAGAGCTGAACCCTCCTTAGCAAGCCATTCATGGTATGTCCTTCATCAGTGTATCCAGGCACTGCCAACATTCAATACAATGGTTGCTGTTGGCCTTAAACCCTCAGCTAGTACACAATGGAAAGAACTCTGTTCCTAGAAGCTGCTTGTCCTAGATCATAATAGCTTAAAATAAAACTGCTGCATGCAAAACCACTTCTTGTCTCTGCTCTTCCTTGGAGACAGACTGCAAGAATGAGTAATGCTCAAGACGTGTGAACTGTCCACTTCCTATCTAGTGTCTGGTCCTTGATGTAGGACAGGACAGTCAGGAATGCCAGAACTGGTGGTGCAGTGATTGCAGCTGGTGAAACCTGGTACTGTCCTGGGAGGTACCAAGTTGTAATTCCTAACCACTCCCAAGCCTGGGGGCATGTATGTGCCCTCCTGGTGCTTTCCCATGCTTGGAGGATCTGAAGGGAGCTGTCAGGGTCCTGACATCCCTTGTCATTAGTCCTCCTAGGTCTAATTCTACTCCTGTGGGTGTCTGCTACCTGGTGAAGTTTGTGGTGGAGTAAGTGGATTGCAGAAGCAGCTGCCTGGGAGATATGTGGACTACTTGGTAGAGAGCTGTTAGGGTGTAGGTGACAGATACTTACTGTCAGCACTGACCTCTCCTGACCAGGAGATGTTTCAGTTGGGCTAAAAGCTCTTCAGCTGCCATGTCTGATTGTCTCCTGAAGAGCTGGAACAGCCCAGTGCTTTCAGGCTTGTCAGACAGTGATGGTGCTGAGGCTGATAGTCCACGTAACTATTGAACTTCTAAATGAGAAGCTCTGCTCCTTGCTTTTTGTCCTTCTTCTTCCAAGGAAAGAAATGGAATCAGCTCCTAATGTGAGTACTGCTTTTTCTAGACTTAATTTTTAAATTTCTTCTAAAGGTAGTTAAAATTGTTGTACCTGGAGGTTAGAAACTGGGAATGATAAATGGACTGGCTTTCTGCAATGTTTAAGATAGAAACTCATCTGAGTTCTGGGAGAGTATCCAGATTTTTCTCCATTTTAGTCAAACCTGTTTGTCTGACAATCCACACTCATTTTTAGTCATTTTGGATAGAAAGAAGAAATGTGTTGGTAATGTGGCAACCTTAGATAAACACATCTGCAGGGAAGACATGCTTTGAGGTGTATCTTCTGGCTCTCAGTAGCCCTTGGGAGTGATGTAGTGTTCCTTGGTTCTGATAATTATAGCCCAAGTGATTATATCTTACCCTCCCCTACTGCTCTTCCTCTCTGCTTATGCTGTGGTCACATGTAATAACTCAGTTACAGGCTGATTTGAATTTTAAATGCAATCACAGGGCACTTGCTCCTTGTTTCCCTCTTGGTAGATGCCACCTCATCTCCCTCTGCCAGTTTGCTTAACACTTTAATTATTTAATTATCATGTTCGTGTAATTCTGTTTGTCTTTATTCAGCCTCTGTTGTTCATTGTTCAAATGCCTGACTTCTAGGTCAGGGAATGTGCTGGCATTGGGTGAAGCCTACCTTGGGCATCACTGCAGAAGGC